TCCCGTGACAACGAGTTTGAATAGAGCTCGATCTGTTCTATTCTCGTCAACTGAGTGATCCAACTTGGGATTCGCCCCGTGAGACGGTTCGTCGACAAATCCAGGTTAACAAGCCGAGTAAGACGCGACAAATCTTCGGGGATTTGACCCCCGAGGTTACACCCACTGAGCCACAGGACCTCGAGGGTTGTCAGATTACCGAGTTGAGGGGGTATCTGACTCGGAGAGAAGGGATTATAAGCCAGTCCAAGCTCTTTCAGAGTAGATAAGTTGGTAAGCGAAACGGGTATTGTGCCGTTAAGGAGATTACCCGCGAGGTTTAGTGTTTGGAGTTGCGGGAACTGACCAAAAGTCTCCGGAATCTCGCCGGAGAAATTGTTACCCGTTAGAACGAGGTGGCGGAGATTAGGGAGGTGAACGAGAGTCTCGGGAAGTGGACCCACCAACAGGTTATCAGACAAATCCAGGCGAGTAAGATTTCGACAGGCGGAGAAATCGACGGTGGAAAGAGAAGAGTTGATGGAGTTGTTGGGGAGGTCGACGGAAGAGAGAGAAGAGAGACGGCAGAGGAGGGAAGGGAAAGATCCGGCGAGCTGAAAGTTGGAGAGGTTGACGGAGGTGACACGAAGAGTTTTGGGGTCACAGAAGATACCGAGCCAGTTGCAGGGCGTGTCGTCTCTTGGATTCCAGGAGGAGAGAGATTGAGTGGGATCGGAGAAGCCGAGTTTGACTCGCTGGAGATAGAGGCCGTCTTGATTGAGAGAGATAGTGAAATGGGGAGGAAAGAAGAAGAGAATCAGCAAGAAGAAGAAAAGCATTTTGGTTCTTTGGGTTCAGGACGAGTCTTGTGGGAAGTGAGAGGTGGTTTGTTGCATGGATTTGTCGGGACAAAAGCAGGAACCAGGAGAAGAAGAGAAGTCGGGTTGAAGAAGAAGAAGCAAGGAAAGCATTTATGAGTATCAGTAATAACAAAAGTTGAAAAAAAAAAAAAACAAATTAAAAAAGGAAAATAAAAAAGTTAGTGAGAAAACTGAAAGGAAAGTGGGTCCCACATTTGTCCACGTTGTCAGTCAGGATAATTTCAGAGAGGAAAAATCGGCAGTCAGTGATAGTCAGTGATTAAATTTTAATAATATCCAGAATTGGGAAATAAATAATAAATTTATTAATAATAGTCAAACATTGTGTTGTTGACTCTGGAAAATTAGGTTAAATTTTAAATGACAAAAAGTGGCGTTCTAGATGGAACACTTATCGATGCTCTCTTTGTTTAATCACTTAAAAAAGAAAAAAAGAAATTTTGAAGAAGAGAAGTTTGAATATTACTTTATATTATAAAGTTGAATTAAATTAAATCTGTGTATAATTTAACTTTATTCTATATTTTTTTTTGTGTTTGATGAAACTTCATTTAATACTGAAACGGCTGAAATATTTCACCTGCAATCATTGCTGATTTTATTTCAACCCAAAATTCTAAGTATGATGATTCATGTGACCAACTTGCCTTTTTTTCTTTTCTTCAAAACTCTTTTTACCCATCTCGTATGGAGTAGTAAATTTATCCCAATGTAAATTAATTTTAGTTAAATAACAAATTCACGTCATTTGTGAGTACAGTGTTCGTCACCTAAAACCACATGGAATTTTCAGATACTTAATAATTAGTACGCAAGACGGCAAGGTGGTCGTGTCGAAATGGCAAGACTTAATTAATATATACATGCCTGCATCTGATTAGGTGATCAAAAATAAAAATGGCACTGCCATCTTCGTTCCTTTCTTAATTCAACAACCCAATTATGATTTTCTTCGAAAATTCAAAACAATTTTGAATTCTGAACGGAGTCGAAGAAAATAGGGGGTTTTGGGTTGAGGATCAAAAGTGTTTTAATTATTAATTTTTAAATTTAAACCAGCTTTAATTCGAGTTTAATTGGAAAATAATAAATAATAAATTCACAGGATGGAGACAAGAAGAAAAGAAAAAATAAATACTGGCAGGAATTTTGTTTTTTTTTTTTTTTTTTTTTAAAAAAAAAAGGGATGAGGGTGGAAAGTCTACGGCCTCCGGGCTCCCGTCAATATGATAAAGATGCTGGGAGGCAAAAGCGGAGAGTTGTAAATTCCTTGGTAATACCAACCGAACACAATAATACCAATTTTCAATGTCCTTATTTTTAATTTAAAATAATATTATTTATCGTTTTTAATTTATTATAATTATTACAATTTAAAATATTTATATATTTAACAATTTAATAAATTAAATATTTTTAATATGATTTAAATTTTATTAAATGATCAAATGTATTATTATTTATTTAAAAATAAATGTGGTTTTTTTAAGAAATCAGATATTATTATTATTATTACTACTATTTAAAAACATAATTGGATTTATCGAGGACTTGATTGAATATGAATTTGTGAGGGCACATGTATGTAATAGTGAGTTCCTAACAATTGGTTGGGAGAAATTAAAGGAGGGGGTGGGAGGGGGAGAAAAATTTGTAGATGATGTGGGACAAAATATATACATAAGTGTGTGTGGGATTAAATCCAATTTAGTTACTCTAAATTTCAAACCAACAACTTATTGAATGCGGTTTGCCTCTTTTTGACTCACGATGGAACTACTTGTTTTTATTCAATCAACAATAATTTTAATAAATTAATTAAATAATTGTTATTTTATTTTTTATTGAAGTTGTACACAAAATTTTAATTTTGAAGATTTTGTTGAATCAACAACGATGCCTGAGGGTACTTCCTATACAAATAAGTCATAAAAAAGCTTTAACATCAATGCCTCTTTTGGTAAGATTGAGTGCCACATGTCAAGATTAGGTTATAATTAATATAAGTAAAATTTTGGACCGACCTAGTGGGTGACGTTTAGTCTCTTTTTTTTCATTTTTTTATTTTTTTTGTTATAATTTTTTTTTTATAAATTTATTATAATTTGATATCTAATATTTTTTCGATAAAATTTGATATCTAATATTTTTTTTATATTTCAAATCTTTAATTTATTTTTATTTTGTAATATTAAAAAAAATATCTCAAAAGAATTTTAATTAAATTAATAAATTTTAATATTTTATTAATTTAACTTGTAATATCCGGACTTAAAAATCAGTTCGGAATAATTTTTTTATTAGATTAATTATCTAATAATTATATAAAAATAATTATTTATTTCATTTTATTTTTGAGAAAAAATGAATTAGGAACGAGATTAAAAATAATTTTTTAAAAAATTGAGTAAAAATTAAAGTTCGGTGAGCGTTTTAAAAGAAAAATTGAAAATAGGGAGATTGAAGTGCAAAAAAAAAAAAAAAATTGGCCACATGGGAAGACCCAGTCAGCGGCCTTGACTAACCGAAGCACGCCGCATGTCAAAATACATCGACTTTGACGCCACGCGGGCGATCCGGGTGATAAGCGATCCGACAGCTCATATTCAATCTCACGCACGTGAACGGCTCAAATTCATTTCCTCTTTAGCCGCGATTGGATGGACGAGATCAATCGCAATGAATGGCCCAAATTCGCCTATACAATCAGCTTAAATAGGTAAAGATCGGACAGCCTTCCTCGCTGCATGTCGACGCAAATAGACGGTCCAGATCGACGCATAATGAGCATAAATACCTCACGTCGTAGGGGAACCCAAACTCTAGTCGCCAGCATTTGCTAGAAAATAAGAACTAAGCGACGGAGAAAAAGACCAATCACCGACCGCCACTGCACCATAGCCACCGCCGACCGCCAAAAAGGATAAAAAAATTTCACCCACTTGAAATTCGATTCCAAACTTCCTTATGGCCATATCAGAGCAAAAAAGACAGCGGGTGAGATGGAAACTGCTGACAACGTCTGATGGAGCTGTCGCAGTCAAAACCCAAAAATTCCTTCGATGAGCCCCTTATCGCTTCCCGTTTCACGTGATTTTTCTATCATTGCATTCATTGTCTTTTTTTATGCAGATTAGCTGAAGAAGGAACCCCAGCCGCGAAGGAGAACCAGTGGAGCTGCCGCACCCGAATACCCCCATGCTGGTAGGTTCGATTTTTTGTGATTTTGTGGCCAACTAAGACCCCATAACATATTTTTCTACATGGATACGTGTAAAACTGGCTAAAACTGACAAGATCGAAGCGAACCGCCACCATGGGCAGTGGAGCTGGCGCCAGAGCACGGCGACTCCGCCGTGCCAGAACTCCAAAATTGGCCGGAAAGAGTTTTGGACTCTGATTTTAGATTTTTTGGATATTTTTATGTACGTGACGAATGTTTTAGATTCCACACACACAAAAATTAGGAAACTCGGAACCTGTTAAGAGGTGTTGTAGATAGCGCGGTGTCTCAAAACACCGATCCGAGTAAGGATCTCTCACTTTATTCTCCGTTACAATAAATTGAGACTTAACAATGTATAATTTTTTTGTTTTTGTGAAAATTTAGAAAAGTTTAAAAATAATTACAGGTCACTAGTGGAGTCAGAACCGTTTAGTTCACAATTATCCTTATTTCTTATTTATTTTTCTGTATTGTCCTACTTGTTTGTTATCATATCGTGCATATTCTTAATTTATAGTTTCTATGACCTTATCGATTTATCTTGTTTATTCGGTTATCTTGTTATGATAAGTTATATCATCTACATAAATATCGTCTAATTGATCTATAAATATAATATGAGATATTGGTATGCGTTTGTTGGTTATTTTATTGATGAAAATTTTTATGTGAAAGACTTACTAGGTACTTAAGAAAATGACGGACGAACCCTGTAAAGACTTGAACCTAAAAGGAAATAAAGTCAAAAATTAAATACAAAAGCGAAATAATAAAGTTTAGGGTTTACATTCCTTACACAATAATTTAGAATGCCCAATAGGGCTACAGAAATATTCCTTCTAAAAGAACAAATGAAAATTAAAGAAATAAACAAAAGACAAATAACTAAGCGAGAACGGCCTTCACTATCTTTTGAAAGGAGTCCGGGTGGTGAACTACTCACAACCCTCTTGTTGATGGAGATCTGGATCTTGGTTTTCTTGATCTGAAATAATTAATAAAAGGGTTAGCTACACTAACCCAATAAGAATATCATACTACTCACCGATACGAAAACTGAAAGTTGATAAAAAAAATCATAAAAACAAATAATGCAGCTGTTGATTTAAGTAAATTTATTTACTATGAAGAAAAATCATTTATTACATATATTTACCGTCGCAAGATTTCAAAAATTGACCTATAGAGAAAATAACTCAAATAACATTATAATATCATATTTAAGTGAGTAAGAATAATAAATTTTTTTTCTTTGTCTACTGGTATCCGTAGAGACCCATAGGGATGTTCCACGACGCTTGAACAAATATCGTACGTTGTGAATTAACCGATCGTCCCCATACTCTGTTCGGTATGGGTACTAAAAATACCATTCTTCGATACCCCGTTCGGTATGAGGCAACGTTCACGGTAGGTTTTCCTATGTACTGGTCCGTCCACCATCTCTTAGGATATCCAGTAAGGCTACCATTCATTAATTCACATGACCAAATAATTTTTCGTTTCCATATTAATTTTAAATTTCACAAATCAACCGTAAATCATGCAAGACTAGCAATATATGTATCAAATAAGCACAATTGAATCATTTAACTATTTTAGTTTATCATCATGTATTTAAAGCTGTAAATTCAATAATCAGTTAAATAGGACAAATAAATAACTAACTAGTTCCAACTCCATTAGTAACCTGTAATTATTTTCAAAGTTTTCTAAATTACAAAAAATACCATATTATCGATTATTAAGCTTCAATTCTATAACAGATAATAAAGTAAAGAATTTTTACTCGAATCGGTGTCCGAAATATCGAACTTTTTACTGCACCTATTGGCAGTACCCGGATTTCTTAAAT